GTTCTTCTCCCCTCACACAGCTCAAGCATTTCACTCGAGCAGCCATCTTCCATTCCTCGCACATGCACAATTTTTTGTAAATGAGATGAAGAGTGTGAAGTAGAAGAGAGAGGTAAGGGAAGAAGAGAGGGTAGGAGAGAGGGTGTGGGGTGGGGAGAGGAGGAAAGAAAGGAGGAGTGGAAAGGGGAGAGAGGAAAAGAAGAGAGGAAAGGAAGTAGAGAAGAGAAGGGTGACAAAGGGAAGAAAGAAGATCAGGGGAGGAGAGAGGGAGAAGAAAGTGACAAATATGGTGTATGGAGAGCAGAAGAGCCAATAATTGTTTTGGGGAGTTGATGGTAGGATGAATTNTGGTGGGCGGTAGGGGTTTGCTGTAACTCTGCTTTATAAATTTTATAAAGTAAAGTTACTTCCCTACTTTATAAATCACCGTTACTGTGGAACTGGTGGGTGGTTAGAAAATTGTAATACTACCAGAAATACAAAAGTGGGCGGTAGGTATAAAAAGGTTGACTACCCCTGGTCTAGAGAATGGGTGTCAAATTTGTGTTGTCATGGCAGTGTCACAATGATGTATTGGGTTTTTTCACCCCTTTGCTAAACCAGGCGGGAGCGTGGGCAGCATGCAACTCATCCAGCCCACAGGCTGCAAGTTCGACAGCCCTGGTCTAGAGGTTAAGGCACCATGCTAGAAAATGAGAGTTCAAGTTCTACCTTAGTCATGAAAGCCAGCTGGGTGACTTTGGCCAGTCTCTCAGCCCAACTCTCCTCATTGTTGTTGTGGGGAAAATAGAAGGGGGAAGATGTTTTGTACCACCTTGAATTACAGATAACCCTCAACTTACAACCATTCATTTAGTGACCATTCACAGTTACAATGGCACTGAAAAAAGTGACATAAAACCAACCCTCGGTTCTAGTCTCAATTGTGGTTGTAAATTGAGAACCTTCTATAAAAATAATAAAGGCAGGATGCAAATAAATAAAAATTGAACACATTTAAGATTAACCTTTCCATACTAGATCTATAAACAGAAATGCTGCACCAAGCACAGATTGCTGAAAAGCTGTTTCAGATTTTTCTAACAATAATGCCACATTAATTAGCATTTCAAAGTCCTTTTGCATCACTCATTATGCTTTGTTTTGACTGTAAGTGCTAGATGTTATCTGATACCATCACCATTAGCAATGGATTCAATACACAATCAATCTAAGGACTAAAATGGTTGAAAAATATCTTATCCTAATTTAAGCGATTTTGTGTTTTTATTCAAGAGCAGGTAAAATGAAAAAAGGAGTAAAATGAAAACAAGAAAGAAATCATTCCAAGTAATATCTTAGATTGGTAATATAAGAGTGTTGAATTTCAAAGCACATGCAAAAGTTTCTAGAAGGCTGGAGGAAATGAGAAAAAGTATCTCTGGCTTCCTGACTAATAACACCAGGAAGATCCAAAGTAAAAGTAACTTGAAATGTCAGTGGGGATAAAAGAAAATGAACTTTTTAGCACAAATTCTTATACCATCCTCTATTTAAGTATCAGAAATCGGACAATGATTCAGAAGCTAAAGTTTATTTTTTATTATTTTACATTGCCATCACCTTGTCTTCTGTCTTTTCAGAAATAAACCCTTCAAATTCAGTTATTCTCAGTTAAATAAATACAGGATTTTTAGGTTTTTAAGTCTGAACTGTTAGATCGGCGAGAATCAGCAGGCAAGAGGTGCGAGTTAGTTTCAGCACTTTTTATTGGAAGAGTAAGTGACTGCGCTCTGCCAGCTGGGCTGCTGGAGCTCGCCTTTTAAGGAGCTCCAGCAGACCAGCTGGCCATTGACAGTAGTTGCCATTGACAGCAACCAATCCCTGTGAAAACATGTACATTTAACAATGTACATCCATACATAACTCCCCTGCCCTCCTAGGATGAACAATGTCCAATCCACGGCCTCCATAAGAGACGTAGTCTTTCAGGTAGGCGGGGCACACCGGTCTCCTACTTGAACTGCACATGGGAGCTCCGCCCGTGCAGTTGAGCCTGCTGTTCCTCTGGCTGCCTGGGAAGGAAACTTCTGGCACTCCTTGGCCCGCGAGTCGAGCTCCGGCCTGGTTCTTTCGGCTCCTGAGATGCCATTTCTTCGTGGGATGGCTTTGGGCACAGTTACATGTTCGCGGCTTGGGTTGGACGGTCGTCCCAACTCAATCTCTTGGCTTGGTGGGGCCAGTTCCTTCCCATCTGCTTCCTGGCTGGCAGTTGAGCATGCTCCGTGGGGCGGAGACCTGGGGTTCTCCGGGAGTTGTTCTGAGCTGGTGGGTGAGGTCCAATCACCCTGGTTTCTCAATTCAGTGTCCCCCAGGCGGTGTCGAAGTTGGTCGATGTGCTTCCTCCAGATTCGTCTGTCTTCTAGCTCCACTCAGTATGACCTTGGCCCGGTGACGGCCAAGATTCAGCCCACCAGCCAAGTCGGGTACTCGGTGTAGTTGTGGGTGAATACCTGGTTGTTTAAGTTGAACTCCCAGGTTGGTCGAGTGGAATCCAGGGGGTTCTCTGGAAGGTAGTCCGGGGTGGTACCAGTTGAGTATGGACCTCAGTCTTCTCCCCATCAACAGCTCTGCTGAGCTTGTTTTCATGGTCACATAGTGGGTGATGTGTTGGGTGAAAGGAATTGGGACTTTTTCCTGCCAGCTTCCTGGTCCCATGCAGGTGAGGGTTTTTTTTGTGAGCCTCACCATTTACTCGGCCTGTCCATTGCTCACCGGATTGAATGGGGCAATGAGAACATGCCGGATTTCTTGATCTGCGAGGATCTTGACAGTCAGTTGTGTGCCATTGTCGAGGACCAGGGTGTCAGGTAGGCCGTGGGTTGTGAAAAGTTTCCGGACAGCTCTGATGGTGGCTTCTACCATGGTTGATTGTATGATAATGACCTCCAGCCATTTGGAGTAAGCATCCACCACGATCAGGAACATCTGCCCTTCCACTGGTTCCATGAAGTCAATGTGGATGCATGACCACTGTTCCTTGGCTGCTTCCCACTCTCGCACGGGTGCCCGGGGTGGGGCTGGTCATGTCTCTTGGCAGGATTTGCAAGTGGCTATCCACTCTGTGATGTCCTTATCCATATTGTGCCACAAGATGTAGCTCCAGGCTAGTGCCTTCATCCGTACTATCCTGGGTAACCCTCGTGGAGGGCTTCAATGGCTCACCTCCACAGCCTCTGGAGTAAGATGATTCCCCCCCCCCCCCACAGCAAGCAACCCTTGATAGTTGATAGTTCTGCTTGCTTACTCTGGTAGCTCTAGAACTCCTCACTCAGTTTATCCTGTGGACACCCCCTCAACACCCAGTTCAGAACCTTTTGCAACCCCTTGTCCTTTTGTGTGTGCTCGGCAATGTCCCTGGCGGTGACCAGGCTGGGTGGGGCAATGTTGATTAGCAGTACCATGGCAGTGGGGGCAGGGTCTTCCACCAGCTCTGGTAGCAGGCAATGGTGGAGTGCATCGGTGTGGCTGATGTCCTTCCCCGGGCAGTGGATCAGCTCGTAGCCATGAGGAAAATGGCAATCTGGTCATCTTTGGGGACATGTATGGTGGGGTTTGTTGGTTCCCGGCAAGGAGCTCCAGCAGTGGCTTATGTCTGTGACATGTTCAAAATGTCTGCCATACATATACTCATGGAATCTCTTTATCCCTGTGACTGCAGCCAAGGCTTCCTTGTTGATCTGATTGTAGTTGCGTTCAGCCAGGACAAGGTCTTGGAGTAATAGGCTATGAGAGCGTCCAATCAATCCTGAGGACCGCTCTAACTCTGAAGGGGAAGGTATCACAGGTGATCTGAACTGGCAAAGTATGGTTGAACTGGATGAGCACAATGTTGGAGGATAGGAGTTCTTTTACTGCTGCGAAGTCCCAGTCTTCCTTCTGTCCCCAGGTCCACGGCGCTGTCTTTCCCAGGAGCTTGTGCAGCGGCTCTGCAACAGTGGCCTTCTGTTTTAAAAAAATACTATAAAAGTTCAATAATCCTAAGAAGGCTTGGAGCTCTGTCTTGTTCCTTGGGGTGGGGCATTTCTAATGGCCTTTACTTTGCTGTCAGTGGGATGGATGCCAGACCCATCTATGAGGTATCTCAGGAACTCTGCCTGCCTCACACCGATTTTACATTTCTTTCGGTTCACTTTAAATTCCTTCTCCTTGAACCTCCCCAAAGTCTCGTGCCCGCATTCCATCAGCTACTCTATGAAGTCCCCTGAGATGAATATGTCATCAAAGTATGACCCCACCCCTGGGATTCCTTGCAGTAGCCGCTCCATTAAATACTGAAATAGTCCTGGGGCTACGCTGACTCCAAACTGCAGTCTGGTGCATTTGAAAGCCTCCCCTATGGGTCACAATAGTCTGTGCTTCTGTGGTGGCTTCGTCCACAGACAATTGCTAGTATGCCTTGGCCAGGTCCAGTTTGGTAAATATTTTCCCACTTCCTAGGGAATAGCAATAGCAATAGCAGTTAGACTTATATACCGCTTCATAGGGCTTTCAGCCCTCTCTAAGTGGTTTACAGATTCAGCATATTGCCCCCAACAACAATCCGGGTTTTAATTTTACCCACCTCGGAAGGATGGAAGACTGAGTCAACCCTGAACCGGTGAGATTTGAACAGCCAAACTGCAGAACTGCAGTCAGCTGAAGTAGCCTGCAGTGCTGCATTTAACCACTGTGCCACCTATTGCACAACTGGCACGGGTATGCGCTTTGCTGTTAGGCCTTATTCAGTGTACACTTGTAATCTGCGCAGAGGTGGACAGAACCATCTGGCTTCACAGATGTGGCTATTGGGGTTTCCCATACTGCGTGGTTGGTCAGCACGAGAATTCCTTGGGCAATTAGTTTGTCCAATTGCTCATCCACCTTGGGCCATAGAGCAAAAGGGACCCCTCAGGGTTTGAGCCTGATGGGGGTTACATGGGGGTCTAGGTTAAATTAAATGGGTTTCCCTGTATATTTACCTAGACCCCCGTTGAAGACGTCTGTGAACTCTGCCAGTAGCCAATACAGATTGTGGATTGAGATTTGATGCAGGCAGGTGATGTCTAGCCCCAGGGGCTTGAACCATTCCACTCTCAGTAGGGATGGTCGGTGGCTGGCGATAACCATGAGAGATAGACAGCACTGGAATTTGTGAAACACTACCTTGACCTCCATTCTTCCTAGGACTTGGATCTGGTTCCCCAGGTAGTCGTTGAGCTGGACGTTTGGTGGTTTGAGGAGCTTCTTGCTGGCTGTCGGGTTCAATTTCTTAATGGTCTGCCAGGACACAATCGTAAAATATGATCCTGTGTCCAGCTCCATCTTGCATAGTCCCCCTTCAATGGTCACCTTGGCATGGAACTTTTCTTCTTTGTAGGCATCTGAGTGGCACACAGTGGTGTGATGGATCTCCTTCTGGGCTTGGTACTGTTCCTCTTTCCGCCTATTCAGTTGTTGGCCAGGTTGTGGGTTGTTTGGTCTCCCCTGCGGAGTCATGGGTCTTGGATGGGATGGGGTGGGCTGGGATGCTCTGCATGCCTTGGCAAAGTGGCCTTTTTGCTGGCATATGTGGCAGATGACTTCCCAGAAATGGCATGCTGCTCTTGAATGGAATCCCATGCAGCCATGGCAATGTGGCTGCCTGCCCTCTATGTCCCTTGCACTTTGTCTCCTTCCTGGGTACATGCGGTTGATGGCATTGCATTATCCCTTTCATTGTCGTACTCTGGATTTTGGATGCCCAGTCGGGTTCCCTGAATGTTTGGTGTATCCCACTGGTTTTCCTTATGTGTGCTGCCAAGTTATCTGACAACTCAGCTGCCTGGGCTTCCTCGACCACATCCTTGAATGAGATTCCCCTTCTGATTAGCAGCTTCTTTTTCAAGGAGAGGTCTCTTATTCCTAGGATGATCCAGTCCTTCATCATTTCTTCTGGGTTGATGAATTCACACTGGGTTGCGATTTCTCAGAGGCTGGCCACCAAATCATTCACCATCTCTCCTTCCCACTGGGCCAGTGGGAAAACTTGTTCTGGCTCACCATGTGGGTGGCAGATGGCGTATAGTGGTCTTCCAGGGCACATTGTAGAGTTGTCCATGCGATGGTCTCTACATTTGGTAGGGCAACATCTGTGCCATCTTATAGAATTTCATTCTGCAGTAAGTTAGGAATAATGCCCACTTACTATTGTCTGGCTGGTCCTGGTAGTCGTTGGCTTCCAGGAACATCCAGAATTGCCCCATGTATGTGTGCCCATCCTCTGTCTATGGGTCGAAGATAGCTGGTGCAGGGGATGCTTGCGATGCCATCTCGTGCTGTGGTGCAGGGTCTTGGTCCTTGTGCGAAATGGCTGCTTGTCCAATGAAGATTCTCAGGTCCCTTTGTCCTTCATTGCCAGTGTTAGATTGGTGAGAAGCAGCAGGCAAGAGGCATGAGTGAGTTTCAGCACTTTTTATTGCAAGAGTAAGTGACTGCGCTCTGCCAGCTGGGCTGCTGGAGCTTGCCTTTAAGGAGCTCTGGCAAACCAGCTGGCCAATGACAGTAGTTTAAACTTTCTGGAGTTTGGGCAACCAATCCCCAGTGAGCATGTGAAAACATGTAAATTAAGGAGCTCCAGCAGCCCAGCTGGCCAATGACAGTTGTTTAAATTTCCCAGGGTTTGAGCAACCAATCCCCGGTGAGCTTATGAAAACATGTAAATTTAACAACGTCCGTCCGTACGTAACATGCATCATAATAGATTCAATATATTATATCTTTTATGAATTGTTGGGTAATTGAATGTATCACTTGGAAGAAATTTAACTATCTAAACAAATAAGTAGAGAAAAACAGGTATAAGAAAAAAGCCAAATAACAATCCTTGTAGAATACAGAACTGTAATGAACAACATCAGATTGGACTACAAGGTGAGAAAACTAGTACTTAGGTGGAATTTTTGAGGTTTTGTATTATTAAGCATATTTACTAAAAAGGATTTTCTTTCACACATGGTTTGAGTTCTCTGAATGTCCCAAATAATCAAAGCATCTACTTCAGTATCTTCCTTGGAAGCAATTTCATGCAAATATTGCCTACCAATTCTATACCTGATTGGAATACTTAGGAAAATTTCAGATCAGTTAGAAGGAATAGAGGAATGGGAATAAATAAAATGGAAAGCAGGGTCTTCTCATAACTATGGTCACTGAGTTCATACAACACACAATGTTATGATTTGTTTGGCTTCAGCATAGTGTGTTTAATTATTGTGTCATGTTTTGCAAATCACAGTAACAGCTGTGTGTGTTGGCCTAATACATACATGTTGCGTCTTTCAGTAGCTTTTGATTCTTTGTCAACCAACTATAACCCTTTAAAATATTTTTTTAGAATATTCGTGACTTTTGCAGGACTGCTACAGCTGCTTTGAAAACTGTTCCTGGCTATTTCTGCAAGCATTAATCTTTGCTGTATATGCAACTGTGTCTATACATGCACTGGTAAGAAGAAACAGCTTCTGAAGACTAGAAAAAAAAACCTTCCTTCCTTAACAGTTTGGAGAAGTGCTTTATTTGCTCCAAGGCATCTTCAAATGTGCCTGCATAGACCTAATGAGCTGCAGTTTGTATACTCAATCTTGCTTTGTAAATTTACACATCACATCTGTACACCAAGCTAACTATTTTAGTTAGTGATGCACTTAATGCTTTGTTTAGCCCTGTATCTCTTAAGCTTTTATTTCTTTACAATCATCTGGATGTTATCCAAACAGCCAATATAATAACCCTGATAATTATGGCTCATTTCTTAGTTCTTAGTTACACTAGTGATACATTACATTGTATCACTCGTTGTAACTTTTATCCGCTTATTGCTATGGTTTAATTGCCTGTTAATGCTATTTGCAATTCTCCTGGAAAGATGTGTATTCTGAAAAGTAGCACACCAAGAAGCCACAACGTACAACTCAGCACACCATTGCTCCTTCCGAGCCCCTTCCTTTGACTTTTGTTTGTTCCCGTCGTAGCAGTTGAGGAAAAACAGCGTCAAAGGGGGAGGGGCCACGAGAGTAGGGAAAGGTGGAGGCCTTAAGAAAGATTAGGTTCCTGGCGCATTATCTGCACCTGAGTATCTGCACCTTATCCTGAATATTTTGGTTAGGGGATCGACATTCTCCCACAAATTGATTTTCGTGCCGTTGGAGAGCAGCGTATGTGCAGGGTTCTTTCTGTTTTCCTTCCCAATTCCCGTGAGGAGGAGAAGGAATAGGAGGAGGACGCCGCCTCCACTGCTGCTGCTGTTGCGGCCAATTCATTTGCCTGAAAGTCGTGTTTTGCATAACAAGAGAAAGGTGTGCGCCGTGCATGCCCGGGGACAAGCGCTGAAGCAGCGGGGGAGGAGGCTTCTCCGGCAAGTAGCATGCATGGCTGGGAGCTCCGTTAAGATGCAACCTGCGTGTGACAGGGCCGACTCGCTGCTCCATGACCGTAACTCTACGGACGCCAGAGGCCAGGAGCAGCAAGTGCAGTTGCGGCAGAAGCTGAGGGAACTACCGACACTGCTCCGGAGTGGACTGACGCTGCGGAGAAAGCGCTCAGATGGCGGAGGCCGGGTAAGTGAACGACGCCGGGGGCCGCGTGATCCCAATAATTTCATCTCTGTTACAGGGTTTGGCCTCCGCAAGACGGTGGGTGACTTGGTACCCAAGGAAGAATCCTATGTGTGTGTCCGCGCGCGCGCGCGCGTGCTGTGGGGCATTTTGCACTTTGCTTATTTTCAAAGTTAAAAAAAAATCCGCTACACGAAATTGATACCTTGATATTCGTGCATAACTACTAGGAAAATAAAACAATTTTTATACAATACTGTATACCATTACTGTCCATTAGGAACGGACAGTAATGGTATACAGTAAGAGAGTCGTATTCTCTTAAACTCCAGTTTTTAATCTACCTGTGACATAAGGAAAGCCTGCCTTTAATCCGTGTGAGATTTGAAAAGACCATGTAATCTATGTAGCATGGTGTGTGTGTATAGGGGACTATTAACCTGAGTTCGCTGAAATTAGACATCTGCAGCTGGAATGGAGGCCATGTTGCAGAGCAGATGTGAGGAGATAATGCAGTTCTTCAGGAATAATAGTTCACTCAAGAGCAGCTAGATTTGCAGCTGTGGGTTATGCACCACCGAATTCAATGAAATTGTATCCTAAGTAGACATAGATTGTAGCCAACAATGTAATTTAAAAAAAACAAAAACAAAAACAAAAACGAATGGACTTGAAGCATGGGCTGAGTGTTGAAACAGTCTTGGAACAGTCTTGGAGTTTAATCAATTTATCAAGGTAACAAGTTTTAGCTGGCTATGTAGTTTTGCATTTCTAATCAATTTCTTGATTCAGTGGAATATTTACTGTAATTATCTACACTAAAATAAGTCACTTAATCTGTGAGGTACATCAATCAATATATATTGATATCTTTAATTGATTTACCATTTAACTTTATATATAATTGCTAAGGCTATCCATTGCAAGTTAGTCTTCCTAATCAAACCCAGGCCTCTCATATAAGCTTTCAAGGAATACAAATTAAATGCCAGTTGGCCAGCTTGAAGAAGCTTTAATGAAAATATTCTGTGAACAATATGCACGGCTTAATCATGGATGTGGGCGACATGCCTAGAATTAGGGATTGTAACTGATTGGTAAAGTCAGTACCAGTATCAGTAGTATACAGAGTAGCCTGAAGCTATGAATTACCAGTTTTCTATTTTGCTCCATACTTTGTGTTTACTATACATAGTTGTCCTAGACTTACTACCACATTTGAGCGCAAAATGTGTTACTTTTTTTGACACATTAAGTGAATCACTGCAGTTGTTAAGTGAATCTATCTTTCCCATTTACTTTGCTTGTCTAATGGTTGCAAAAGAGGGTCACAGGGCAGCAGGAGATACTCCAGCCATCATAAATAGGAGTCAGTTGCCAAGCATCTGAATTTTAATCACATGACCCATGGGGATACTGCAACAGTCATTAGTGTGGAAAATGGTCATAAGACACTATTTTTCAGTGCTGTTGGAATGTCGAAAGATCACTAAACAGTTGTAAGTTGAGGACTATTTGTACTTTTCTGAAGAAATACTAATATCTCAGTGCTGCAGTAAAAATAATTGACACATTGATTTTAGTTTATAATTAATATTTTGCTCACCTAGGAAGTAAATATTGAATTTAGCCAAAATTATTTTTGAATAAATAGTATAGAAAACGCTATTGATTAAGCAACATTAAGACTTTAGCATAATTTTTAAATAAAAACAAAAACATGCTATTGTGTTTCTAGCTCTGATGTAGTTTTCCTGATGTTTGTTGACAAAAAAAAACGAATATCCTCTCAGGGTGGAACTTGAACAGACAAATCTCTGGGGTCATTTCTTGCCTTTCCCTCCTACATGAAGCAAGCATGTGTTACATTGTGCATTATTAGAAGATTCTCTTGTAAGATAAATGGAGGATGTCTCCTAATATGATGTTTCCTGTCAGCAATTTTCATAGGTATTTCTAATTAAACTAATAATTGAAAAAAAATCCTGTTTTTGAGAAAAAAATCATTTTAATACCAAGTTGCTAAGAAGTCAAATTGATGCATCCATGAACATTCTATTGTGTTTGCAATAGCCTGAGGACTTGTGTGTTTGTGTGTGTGTGTATGTGTGTGTGTGTTTGTTTTAAGACAACTAACCCGCATTGGAATCTACAGAAAGTAAGCATTTGTCAATTTAAACAAATGATTATATGTCATCCAATTGTTATTAACTGACTATATAGATCAGGGGTGTCAAACTGGTGGCCCATGGGCTGGATGTGCTATGCACAGGCCATACCCACCACAGCTCCATGAATAGGAAAAACTTTGTGAAATATTACGTGATGGCAATGTGACATGGCAAGTTTGATACCTGTGATATAGATAGTCCTTTTGTAGAATGACCTGTCCCCAACTTGATCCATTGGGTCTTCCAGCAATGTTTCAATTGTTGCTGTAATTGTCCACCCTGCTGCAGGTGTGTTCTATTTTCTTCCATCTTTTCCATTGTTACACATTTCTTGACAGCTAGACCTTTGTATAATACATCCCAAACATTTGTGAGAACTCTGATTGATTTTTTACACAATCTGTTTGTCTTTTTAGCTATCCATGGAATTATTGGAAGCCTTCTCCATCACCAGAATTCAAAAATATTAATACAGACCTATCCTGCTTCTTCAAAAATTCATTTCCCCCCATTTTTATAGTCAAGGAATTCCATTGCCTTAATTTTAATCTTTGCAGATAAAGACATACCCTGGCATCTGAATGTCTTTCCAAAGCCTTCATGGCTATCCTGCCAAGTGCTGATTTGCAGTGTAGTTCCTGACTTGGCTGCTTTATTTACAGTTGATTTTAAAACTTAGAATTAATTCACCAACTTCAATGATTTCATTGACAATACGATGGCTTATTGCTGTGCCTGCTGGCAGTTTAATCTTAGTCACATTGTTCACTGGATTTTTAAAACTAACTTCATTAGAACTTCCAGATCATTTTTAATCATCAGAGTGCACAGTGTAGATTATTGATGTTCCTTCCAATTTCAAAATTGTGATCATCTTCCAATCCAGTGTCTCAATGTATATTCAGAATATAATTTAGATACATATGCTATCCTTAATCTCTGTGTGAAATTGGTAAAAGCTTTGAAGGATTAATTCTAACTTGAGCGTGCCTGTCCTCTAACACTATCCTTAAGGGAAGGTGGATATTAAATTCTGTATAGGGATAGGTTGTACATGATATTGAAATAGCATAAAGATTATTCATGAGATGATTCTTTTTAAATATGTTTGTACTCATAGTTCTAGATTAATAATTAGTTATGAAAATTACATTTACATGGTATTGTAAAGCTCCGTGATGAGGTGGCTTGCAAATAATATATTTAATGCATTTCTAGTTAAAACTGTTCTTTGTTATTCTAGGATGTATGAAATATAATAACTGTGGCCACACCGTATTTTGGAAAATAAAATTCTAAAACAAGGCAGCTGAGTGACAACTCAAAATATAGTACAATATGTTACTTCCAGTCATGGATTAAAAACTTAATTTATTATAGCCACCCAGTTCCAATGAATTCTGGCCAGTGCACAAAACAAAAAAAGACAAAATCCATAAAATAGGTATCATGTCATAGAGCAGTGGTGATACCTTGGCTGTGGCTCAGTACTGATCTGTGAGCTATTAGGAACTGGGCTGCACAGCTGGAGGTAAGTGATAGGTAAGCAAGTGAAGCTTCATCAGTATTTGCAGCCTCTCTCTAGTGCAAGCATCACCAACTCAACTTCATCCCAGATCATCAGACATTAAATTCTCATAGAAACATGAAACCTACTGTAAATGGCACATCTGATTGCATTGGATCTAGGCAGCACACTCCTCCAATCCCACCAGTGTGTGGAAAAATTGTCTTCCACAAAAGTGGTCCTTGGTGCCAAAATGTTTGGGGCCCGCTGCTATGGACCACCTGGCATAGAAGACATAGATCCTTGCTCAATAGTAGTAACTGTGAAAGGGATCTTGGAGTCCTAGTGAACAACCATTTAAATATGAGCCAGCAGTGTGCAGCAGGTGCCAAAAAAGCCAACACAGTTCTAGGCTGCATAAACAGAGGGATAGAATCAAGATCACGTGAAGTGTTAATACTACTTTATAATGCCTTGGTAAGGAAGGCCACACTTGGAATACAGCATCCAGTTTTGGTCACCACAATTTAAAAAAGATGTTGAGACTCTAGAAAAAGTGCAGAGAAGAACAACAAAGATGATCAGAGGACTGGAGCCTAAAACATATGAAGAACAGTTGCAGGAACTGGGTAGGTCTAGTTTAATGAAAAGAAGGACTAAGGAGACATGATAGCACTGGTCTCAGGGGCTGCCACAAAGAAGAAGGTCAAGCTATTCTCAAAGCACCTGAGGATAGGATATGAAGCAATGCATGGAAACTAATCAAGGAGAGAAGCAACTTAGAACTAAGGAGAAATTTCCTGACAGTGAGAACAATTAATTGTT